ATGGATAAATCGACAGGTCTTTGGGAACGAATCACCATTCCCAAGGACAAACGGAAGAAGTATGATCATGTTGGACGTCCTTGCTATACCAAAATCCCTGTCTACGCACCTGTGCGTACTCATAAACTCACTCTCCTTCAACGCCTCCAAATCTCGATCTCTCACAAGAAATACCTCGCTAAGCTCCGTAAACGTCATCTTAAATACGTCGAGCGAGAGCGCCTGATGAATAGGCTCCATGATCTGCCTTCTCAGGATTATGATACCTCTCCAACCCATAAATTCTTTCCTGACCCTGTCTATGTTCCTCCTCCACCTATTCCCTCTGATCTCCACTTCCGACGAATTCCGACCCTTGCTCAACGCCTTGAAGAACCCTCTCAGCTCACTCCTCTTGATACTTATCCTAAACAGGATGCTGTCCTTAAGCGTATCAAGGAGTTTGAAGGTGTTCTGCAGGCTACCAAAATTCGTCTCGAGCCAGTTTTCAGGGAGTTAAACTCGGAAGAGTACAAGGAATATAATGGACAGGCTTTTAGAATTTCCAATCAGGATCGAAATTCTCTTTGGGGATGGTATAATGATTTAGAGGATTTATATCAGGATCTAGATAAGAGGGGACACCAATTGAGTAACAAAAATTGGAGAGAGATAAAAGGGATATGTACCAAAATTGGGAAAGTCAATTTTCAGAGTCTGTATACTAGGCTTCCTGAAATTTGCAAGGAGCTATTAGACCTGAATATTGTACTTCCTGATGCAGCCAAAGCATGATAGTCTTATGTAATCTGGCAAACATTTGTGTTTTTTCATATATTCATTTTTTCATATTATGTCTGAAAAATAATCTGACTTCAAAACAACTAGAAAAATGTCTTACACACCTTTCACCCCTGTCGTTGAATTAGTCGATGATGGACAAGTTTGGTCCGATGCTGTCTCTCAAGGAATTGATATGGCAGCAATTGGATTTCAAACTGATGAACAGAAAAATCAGATTGGACGACTCCTTCGCAATGCTCACGAGGCTACTACCAACATTTCCATTGGATATATTAACAGAAATGTCAATGAACTTGCTGATTGGATGAATCAGGCTTTTACTACAGCCTTCACCAATCAAGAGAACTTAACAAATGAAGTTCGTAGCCTTCGACAGATTGTCGAAACTCAGGCAGAACTTTTACGAGCTTATAAGGCACAGCTTGATAAGCTTCCTGCTGATGCTGGAGCTGGCCCATTCAGAGGTCCCAAAGTACCTGACCCACCAACCTTCTCTGGAACAGACAACAAGATGACCTTAGAAGATTGGATGAATCAAGTCGCATTGTACTGCTCATCTTTAGGCATTGTGACAGATCATCAAAGAATTGTGACTGCTCTTACTAGGTTGCGTTCTCCTGCCACAAACTATATGAGAAAGTACTTTGATGACACACGTTTGGGAAACGATCTGGGATCTTGGGACAACTTTGCCAATGAGCTCAATGCCATTTATGGTCGCCGTGATAACAAAGAAGGTGCTAAAAATGAAATTACACATCTTTGGACAAACAAGTCACTGGCTAGTAAGGACTTTATCAAATATGCTGAACAATATCGCACTCTTGCACGTATTGTGGACTACCAAGATAGTATTCACATCGACAAGCTTCGTGATGTTATTTCACAAGAGTTGCGTAATGCACTTGTTGTGTTGGAAATTTCTGGAAAGACTCCTACTAAATGGGAAGATTATCTGGAACTTCTCCTTTTATCATATAAAGCCTTACATCCAGAAAAGACTAAAAGTGTAATATTTGGCACAGGCAATAATGCTAAAGGCAATGGCAGTCATGAACCAGAAGCAATGGAGATAGATGCGGCAAAAAAGAGTAAAGGCAAAACCCCAGAAAAGGTTAATTCCCAGGAGCAAAAACAACGATATTGCCAAATATGCGCCGGAAAGGGCTTAAAGGCAAAATCAAAGACTCACAATACAGTGGATTGCTTGAATTTGACTTATTTCCGGTCTGCCCAGAAGCTAACACGAAGACAAGCGAGATGGGCTCTGTATCTTACTCGCTTTGATTATTCTCTACGGCATAAGCCAGGGAAAACAATGCAGGCTGAAGACCCTCTGTCCAGGAGGCCAGATCATGAGGAGGGGGTAAACCTCGACAATCGAGATCAAATTTTACTCAAACCTGAATTTTTTGCCATTCAGGCTATTGAGGCTGCTCATGAATCGCCTATCAATGATGAACAAATCCTAAGGGAGGTCAAAGAAGCCTTGCTAACTGATGAAGTTACGAAGGATTACAAATCACTTCTGTCATCAGGACCACGTGAATTCAAGAAATCACTAGAAGAGTGGAACTATGAAAATGGTCTACTACTTTACCGTGGTAAAATATATATTCCAAAGAGCACAGATGATCATCTACGAAGACGCATAGTTCAAATGCATCATGATTTACCATCAGCAGGACATCCTGGTAGATGGAAAACCTATGAACTCGTTTCTCGAAACTATTGGTGGCCAGGGATGTCAGTCTTTGTAAAAAATTATGTCTCAGGCTGTGATACTTGTCAGCGGATGAAAAATCGCTCACAACAGCCTTTTGGACCCTTACAACCTAATCGAGTACCAAATGGACCTTGGGAAATTATTTCCATAGACCTTATTACTCAATTACCACCATCTGGAAAGCACAATGCCATATGTGTTGTGGTAGATCGCTTGACTAAGCGTGCACACTTCTTTGCAATCACAAATAATTTCACAGCCAAAGACTTAGCAAAGTTACTCTATGACAGGATATATCCACTGCATGGACTCCCATTGCAAATAATATCTGATAGAGGAACACAGTTTGCTGCTGAAGTTTTTCAAGAATGGTGCAGGCTACTTGGAATTGAATCTACTATGTCAACTGCCTATCATCCACAAACTGATGGACAAACAGAACGTGTTAACCAGATTTTGGAACAATACCTTCGGTGCTATGTTGACTATAATCTCAATGACTGGGCCGATCTTCTAAGCACAGCAGAGTTTGCATACAGCAATCAAGCACATGAAGGTACCAAGGAGAGTCCCTTCTTCCTGGAATATGGTCGACATCCTCGTGCAGGTCCTATGCTCATTAAAAATCAGGGATCCATTGATTTTAATGACATAATGCAACAAAGACTTGAAGCTCAAGAGCAAGCAAAAGCAGCTCTAAAGCTTGCAGCTGAAAGAATGAAATGGTATTATGACAAAGGAGTTCAAAACATACCTTTTAAAGTTGGAGACAAGGTTCTATTGAATCTTAAAGACTATCAAACTACAGAACGAGCTCTCCAGCCAAGATTTGAAGGTCCATTTAAAATCATCAGAAAACTATCAGATGTGACCTTTGAACTGAAACTACCTCCAAAATACCGTGGGATACATCCTGTTTTTCATGCTAGCAAGCTTGCCACCTATACAGAATCTACCATTCCAGGACAAAAGGCTCCTACTCCTGAAACTATAATAGTTGATGGAGAGGAAGAATGGGTAGTGGAGAAAATTTTACAACACCGAGTTCAGAGAAAGAGATTGGAATATCTGGTGAGATGGAAAGGTTTTACTCGAGATCATGATACTTGGGAACCTGCTGCAAATCTCAAAAATGCACCAGAGAAAATTCGAGAATATAAAAAACAGATTGATCATTCAATTGAAAGTGTGGAACTGGACATATTCTCAACGGAGCTCGAATCAGAAGAGGGGGTAATGTCACAGATTTCTCTCTATTCTCTACCTTAATCACTTATCTTATCTCCTATCTCTATCTTATCATATTATCAGTAGTAGTTTATCATTTGATCATCTCTGTGCCATACATATTTTCATTTGTACAACCAGTGATGGGACATGCTTGCTCTGCACCATATCTACATTACAACAGGTTGTCTTATGATGTAATAAGTGAAGCATCCACAGGATGACTTCATAGATGACTTCACCATGAATCATCCACAGTCTCCACAGGATGACTTCATAAATGACTTCATGGATGACTTCACCATGAATCATAGTGACTTCATAAATGACTTCATGTAGCTCCAACTATGACATGGACTATGATATCATTAGATAGTAGCTCCACTCTAGAGTAGTATAAATACTCTCATGTATCTCTGGGATCCCCCAGATTCAAGAACATCTTTTATCCTCTTGTGATCAACTTGTGCTCATACTCTGTCACTATCCCCAACCTTTGCAACTACAACTAGGTGAGTTCTAAGTTGTGATAGAGGCAATGATAACACAATGCGCATCTGGAGCCTTCAGGATCAGACAGTATTATGGATATGCAGCCACTATGGAAGTGTAATGTCTCTTGCCTACTCCCCAGATGGTAGCTTTGTTGTGACTGGCAGCACAGATAATGTTGTTCGGATTTGGGATGCACACATTGGAACAGAAGTTGAGCTCATGTATGAGCATACAACCTGGGTTACAGTTGCATGCTCTCCAGATGGTAGATTGATAGCTTCTGGATCAGATGATGGCATGATTATCATATGGAATTTTGCTGGAGAAAATGTGAAGACATGCTTCAAACATGATGATAAAATTACACAGCTGGTATTCACAGCTGACTCTCTCAGTGTCATATCTAGATCTATGGATCATACCATCTACTTCTGGTCAACCACCAAAGATAATGCAAAATTTGATCTGCATACCACACCAGCCTGTGCAATAGTTGATGGTCAAGGATGGTTGAGAATGTACTCTCCAAATGGTACAAGTCGGAGATTGTGTTGGATTTCACCGAATTTTAGGCCTTCCAGTGTTGGAGATTGCTATGATGCTATTACCAGATCAAGTATCATTGGTAATCAAAGTGGACAAGTTTTAATTATTCGAATCATGCTGAAAGAAGACTCTTTGGTTCATTAGATATTGGACTCAGTTAGATGAATACATAGTAAGTACAGCCTGGTAATTCTTTGAGCCACACACAATCAGTATTTTCCCTGCCCGCCTAGCTCAATCGGATAGAGCGTCAGACTTTTATAAGCTGCTAAGTATGTGGGGCGTAACTTGATCTGAAGGCTGCGAGTTCGACCCTCGCGGTGGGCTATAATATATAAGAGCAGTCCCTCCATGCTCCTTTTTTGCTGTTGCAGTCTTGCATAATAAAGTTGGACTAGTGCATAGTATTTTTTTAATACCCTCAGCGAGATTACTAGACGAAAGCTCTGTTGTGCCTTTGCATGATGTAGAATAGTGTATAGGAGCTTCTAGCTCAAGGAGGCACATTGCGGTCTCGTATGCAGCTAAATTACTCAATATTTAGCATGCTATAGCAATCCCAGGAATCCTAAGGTAACGATTGTGGTGACAGATGTAGTGTGAGTAGGTAGAGAATGATGTGCAATGGATGTATGATGCATGCATATACAGGTCGAAGGATGGAATATAAGTAGAATTAAGAAGGGGTATGTAAGATTCTGGTCAAAAATTACGGCGAGTCATCGTTAGATAATGCTCTCCCTGCGTTCTGCATCAACCGTCGTAGACGCGCGAGCTCAGCGCTGAGTTGTCTATCCAGTGTAGGTCAATATCATAGATGAGGATTTCGAGTCGGGGTAGAGGACATTTACCTGGCAGTTTCACTATCCGTCTCACTATTCACCCCACATTTCTCCACAGCTTTCTTCATCTCTTGGAGTTCTTCTAACCATCTATCCTCAATCTCCTTCGCTTTCTTCTTATCTTGTTCTCTCAATCTCTTCACGTCCTCGTCGCATTTTCTACTCGCCTGCACTTCCTCCACAAGCTTCCGATATTTCTTACCCATAGCCTCCGCTTCTCCCTTCCACCTTTCTTCCCGTTTACGTATTTCCTCTCGTAGACGATCGGTATCAGATTTCCATGATTCGGTGAGATGCTTGAGGCTTTCTCGCAGCGTGAGGTACTCTCGTTCAGACTTTTGTGATAGAGCGGTCGATTCCGCAAGGGCAGATTCCATTTCCCGAAGACTCTTTTTGGATTGGGAGGTTTCGGTTTTGAGTTGGGAACGGAGCTGGGTGGCTTCAGCTTCGGCTTTTCGTGCGCGTTCAAGGACCTGAAGAGTTTTTATGAGCAGCGGGAAAAATGTTGACTCGGATGCAACAGTACGCACTTCTTGTAGCAATCTTTCCTTTCTGGCAACCACGTTATTCAAACCTTCATTCTCCAACCTTAATCTCTCCCTCCCTTCTTTTAGATCTTCTGTTTGCCTCGTTAGCGTAGCTACACTCCTTTGGCTTAGTCTCAATTGAGCCTTGGTATTCTCTAACGCGTTTCGCGCATTGATGACACCCGTCTGGAGATCTGCGAGGACTTTGGTTGTACCTCCAGGTGTGAGAGATACTCGTCGATTGGAGTTTGAATTGGGCGAACTTGTGGCGCTTGGGGATGGTGGGAGCTGAAGTGAAGGTAGAATGGGTGATGTTAAGGATGTGTCGAGAGAATTGGAGTGTAGAAGGGAGGAAGAACTGGCGGAAGGCGCTACTGCTCCTTCCTCGGCCAGAGCTCGAGCATTACCTGGGAGGTCAGGATATTATAAGTACGAGTGTGTATAGATTAGGACATAGAATCGAGCGATGAATACACAGAATCTTGACACACCTACAGACGCTACTGGAATTCCTGAAATGGGTTCAATTGGAAGGGCTCTGGATACGTTGGACAAGGTTACATACGACTTAGAGTGCGTGTCGGACTTGACGCTCGTTTGTGAGCTGGAGGACTTGTCATCGGCACGCCTTCCTTGATCCCGTTCTCGTTCAGACTACCGTTTACGCTATGACTGAGCTCCCGTTTGCCTGTCATGGGCAATGGTAGATTGGAATCTGGACCAGCTATGCCTTGCAGTACTTCAAAACTCGTCCTTCGTGCAACTCTGGTTGGCGAAGACCCGGATGGTGTTGGTGAGCGGTTAGAATAAGATGAAGGAGGTGGTGAAGCTAGGTTGGACGATGAAGTGGACATTGAATCGGATGGTTTGTGGGGATAAGGACGTGGACCACGAAGGATGTTGCTTTCCAAGTCGTTCACTTGAGCTTGTTGGTGTCGGATATTGTGTTTGAGGGCGGCCACTTGGTTTCGTACAGCAACTGAACAGAAGTGTATCAGGTTTATGTTGCAGAAACGTGAAAATGAAATTAGAATACGGACCTGGATCATCAAGAGAGAGGGCAGGACTAGGAGCACGTATTGAGCGACCAGAAGATCTTGAGGACGGTCTTTCGTATCGTGAGGACGGTGAAGTGGAGACTGCAGGGGAGGCCATTGTAAACGGAGTGGTGGAGGAGCACACAAAGCAGCTGTGGGAAAAAAGGTTCTTTGCTCCCTACCACCATGTCATTTTGTTTTCTACGCGCTGCGACCAAAAGTTTCACGAGACGGTCTGTATGCTATTCAGCATCGACCAGATATTTTTTGCGAAATGAGAAACGCGTCGTAAACGGTATGATTCATCAAAAACTGTTCATCCATCTTCACACTAACGAATATAGTCCTCAGTCGTTCACGATATACAACACGAGATTATTCCACAGGGACTCCTTCAAATGCAACAACAGAGGCAATTTCTTTCGGCTCAGAAGAACTCTCAAAAGCTTTGGAGCTGATGGTCGAGTCTTCCCAATCCCTTCCGCCGATTCCTCCAGATCAAGACCAAGAAATGTTCTGGCGCGCTTATTTACTCGCTAACCAGATCATCGTGTATCTAGCAGCAAGACCGCCAATGGAAGTAGAAGCCTTTGCTACGGTCAGTGATTAGAATAGCTAGTGAGCTCGTAGCACTAACCAAATTCAGTAGCTTTTCCAATCAGCCTCGGTACCCGCCAATTCTCCCATTGCAAGAGGTCGTATCGGTGTACTCAAATTAACGACGGAGATTGTTCGAGTCATGGACGGTATACCACTGACGTCGACACTCAATTCTTCCCATCCGGAAGTTTTCCAAGCTTTCAAAGCTCTAAAAAACGACCACGATGCTTATGTCGGAGAAGGAAGCGTAGATGACCTAGAAAGATGGTCGAAATTCTTTGTGGGCCTGAGAACAGACCTGATTGAGTTCACGACTCGGATTGGAACGGTCGTCGAAGGCTGGGAATCAGTTGAACGGCAAAGCAAGAAGTGATATACTGAGGCTTGTAGAGTCAGGCGCACAGTAAGTGTTCTTTGTCGGCTTACCAAAACCAGACTTGATCTTAGACGGTTCAGATAGGCTGATGTTGAGGATCACCTCGTTGTGTGGATATTTTGTGAAGCGGAACAAGCTTGATCGTTTCTGGTGTATGGTTCCCTCGATGCCTCACAGGATTCTCTGTTTGACACCGCAGCGCTACATGTATCTATATATGCTTCCCTCTGTCTGTGAGCATCCAGAGCAATATGAGCTATGCTTTGAACGTTGAACTTTGCGATGTCTCCTTCCGAAGCCTTCCCCGCAAAATCCGCATACGCTATCAACTGATCACATGCCAACTCACATCAATTGTTTTCGCTTCTCTCCCTCCTACTTTCATGTCCCTCAGCCTACTTCAACTATGATTGTAACACAAACTCCACCAGGCATCGACCTCTCCTTCAAACAACTCGTGAACGCGATGCTGTACAAGTGTAAATATGCAAAAAACCAGTAAGCTTATTCAAAGCTGTAAATTTGATCCCGCTTACTGAAAATTACCAGGCTCGTCGACTTGCCAGAATCAGAGGTATGTCGCCTTTGACCCTGCTTTTTATTCATTCATTTACGATGTACTTTTGCCAAAAGTTGGATAGTCTGGATCGAAAGCTCCAGACAGCGTCTTCTGCTATCCGAGGCTGTCGAAACGCATCCCAGAAAATCAATCAACTACCCCCCGAACTTCTTTTCAACATCATGTACAATGCTCAGATGAACCTCTCGAGCTTCCTGCCTGATCTCACCGCATATGAAGATCATGGGAGAGACTGGTACCATCTTCTACATGTCTGTCGTCACTGGCGCGGAATCATTGCTCGTTCCCCACAGTTATGGTCGACCATTGACAACACGCTTATCGACTCCGAAGACGAGAATAACAAGAAGCATGAGAATCTTGTGGCTCACGAGCGATACCTGTCTCGGTCTGGAGCAGCTCCGTTGACGGTGTACCTGGGTGTGAAAGAGACGAAGATTCGGAGAAAGTCTCTTCAGGCTCTGTTGAAACATGTCGCGAGGTTTAGGGAATTTCACGTCATTGCCGATCTTTGGGAAGATCCCTCTGTCCCGATTTACACTTTCTTCGTGGATCCAGCACCGAATCTAGTCAGTCTCACCCTGCGTACGGACGGCAAAGACGTACCCAACGGGACATTACCCCCAATATTCGCAGGAGAAATGCCTTTGCTCAAGGAACTGACTTTGGAACATTTCACTGTCTGGCCGACGACACATTTCCATAACCTCACCTCGCTTTGCCTATCCGACCAAGCCTTCAACCGGCCTACCACACAAGCGTTTCTCGACTTTTTACAAAACTCCCCGATGCTCGAGATGCTTGCCCTCGTTCGCGCCGGTCCAACACTTCCTGCTGTTACAGATATAGTACCCGCCACGGAACGCGTTGTGAGTTTACCTTCTATGCGTCAAATAAGCTTAGGAGGGTGGCCGACGACTTCTACTATATCCAGATTCCTCTCATACCTATCCCTTCCGGCCCAAACCGACGTGTATATCTGGGGCAATATCTTCTCAAATCCCGATACCGACTTGACTGCGCTTCTGCCCTCAGAGACCACAAACTTACACAATATTCAAGGTATCACCAAGTGGTACCTAACACATTACTCTGTCGCTCAGCCAGGAGATCTCCTGTATGTCCCCTTCACGGCTGTCGTTGGCTCATCGAATGCACTGCATAATTACGGTGTGTTCCGCTCGAGTCAATTGCTTGCTACGCTCCCGAGATACTCGTTGCATAATGTAACATCGTTCGTCCTCCGGGATAGCTCGTACCAGGCGAATAGGTTTAAGACGTCTGTTTGGGTCGAGATTTTCGGGAGGTTGAAGAATCTAGAAGAGTTGAGGATCTTAGCATATCAGTCGACAACGACGACGAGGA